AATATTTTTATACTTTTCATAATTTTCTATTTTAATAATTTATTTAAATATTCTAATTATTTATATCTATATATATAAACATAAAAATTAAAGTAATAAAAATAATTAAATCTTATACTTTAAAAGAGTTTTAGTTGTTAAAGAAAAAAAATAGGCACGTTTCAACATTTATTACATCACAAGTACTTCACGTGCATATTTTAATATAAACATGGTCACGTTTCGTAAAATATACAAATTTGACGTCACTGCAAATATTGATAACATCTAATCTTAAAAAAAAATACAATTCAACAAGCAGTGAAATATTTTAGACAGAGCAAACTATTTTATCATATTGACAATGTTCTTTATCATAACATTTTATTTTTTGATTTTCATATATATGACATTTTTTGATATATTGAAAAAATATAATGAAAATTATAATACCTATTTATATCTTCTAATTTTAATAGAAACATAAAAAAAAATAAATGATTATTTTATGTAATAAATTATTAAAATAAAATATATTATATAATTTTTGAAATATATTTATGTTGAAAAAATATGAAAAAAAATGTGACAGTGCAAAATGTACTTTTTAATTATTAAAATATTTCATATTGTTTTTCATTTATATTATTCTATTCAATATTTTTACGATATAAAAACTTTTTTTCAAAAATATATTTTATTATTTATTATTGTTATTATTATTCTTTTTAAATAAATAATAAAATTTAAGATATTCAGTTAATTTATTTTTAAAAATTATTTTATTTCACATAATAAATCTTTAAATAATTTTCATAATTGTTTAATAATTTTCAATATTTTATAAATATTTTTAAGATAATTAATTATAAAATATAGATTTTTAATAAATTATAAGGACAATTATATCAAAATTATTAAAGCATTTAACACTTTTAAAGTGATTTTTCATTATTATTATATTTAATATATTTAAAAGTTTTTAAAAATATTTGATTAATATTTAAACTTATTAAAAATTCAAACAATGTATTTATATATATACTTATATAATTATATATAATGTAATATATAATACATTCCATATGGTTATAAAAAATCAAAAATAGGAATAAATATTTTCTTTTTATCATAAGAACTATTTTAAAAAACAAAATCTGACATTGTTCCTTCTTATGTGTTTGAATTATTTAAAATATAAAAAATACTATAATGCTACATACAGTACTACAACATAAATACTATAACACTTTCCAAAGAAAGTATTACAATGTATTCTTTGAATTACATATTCATCGGCTTTTTAAATAATTGAAAGTGGTGAATTAATAAGAAATTAATTCTAGAAAATATCAAATGACATTGATCCATGATTAGTTTATAGTTTATTGACAGGTATCATTAAAGAATATAATTTTTTGTAAAAATGAGATCAAAGACAATAATAGAACTTTTTATAAGTCAAACATTTTGATTTTAATTAATTAATCTAATAAATGACTATGAATTCTTAATAACACAGATTTTAATATTATAATATTTCTTATAATATTATAATATTAAATATTTTAACAAGAATGATTTTAATTTTAATGTCTAACTATGAATTTTTATAATACAGATTTTAAAATATTCATATTCGTTATTTAAATTTTAATTTCAAATATGAACAAGAATTGAATTTTAATATTAATAAGTTAATAAATAAATTTACAATCCTTTGTTTTATGATTTCTTAATTTAATTTATAATCTATAATTTCTTTCTTTATTATATTATAATACTATATTAAATAATAATAATAAATAAATTATAAAAATTATAAAAATTAATTTAACTTTGATTTTTTATTTTTTGAAAAATAAATTATTACTTTATTAAAGAAAATAATCTAATTTTACAAAATTAAAATTATTTTTAAAAAAAATTTCTAATTAAATATGAAATGTAAAATTGTATTAAAATAATTATAATTAATCTTAATTATTTTAAAATTATATTTAAAAAATTATTTTTTAAATATGTTTAAATTTAACATTAAAGTTAAAAAATTAATTTTTCGATATAACAGAAATAATTTAATACTTTTAATATTTTATTTGAATAGATATTTTCAAAATTAAAAAAAAAAATTGAAAAAAATTATGTAAATTTATACATTAATAATATGTGTGTAATTGTTAATTTCAGGCATGATGGAATCGCAACCAAATAACGATGTATCATCGATTTACGTGGCGAAATATAATCGTTTCGTGGACAATATTTTAGGAAGGATTAATAAAATCTTGCGCAGTAATTACGACCCAGTTACTGTGAAATTAACCAACGCAAATGCCAAAACGAAATCAAACAAACACAAAAACAAGAGTAAAACAAGAAAAATAACAAAAGTGGAACGAAGAAAAGCAATTTGGGAATAGTCGTGGTATCTACAGAAAAAACCATCCATGAAATTCCTGAAATTACACAGGTGAGATAAATTTTATAGTATATGTAAATATATCTGTGTACGTATATTATGATATTATTAATATGATTATTAAAAAATATTTTATATTTATTTTATTAAATATTTATTCTGTATTTATTATTATTTATAATAAATAATTTAATATTATTTTATATTAATTAATTAATATAATAATAATATTAATTTAAAGGAAATCCTCGAAAAAAATTAAAATGAAATTAAAAATATTTAAATATCAATTATTACATAGCTAAATGTTTCTCTTATCAAAAATTAATATTATCAATTTAATTTTCAGGTATTTATTCTTTATTATTTATTATCTATTTAATATGAAATATTTAATTTATAATATTTGATTTATATTTGACTAACATTGATATATTTAATATAAGTATTTATAATAAAAACAAGATATTATTTAGAAAACAATTACTTTTCAAGACATATTTTTATTCTAAGATTAAATTTTTTTGAATTTCTAAAGTTATTATATAAAAATTTATAGTAATATGTATATAATAGATAATTAATTAGCTGATCTGTTTTAAATAAAACATCCAGTATATTGAAAATATTATAAAGATAGAAAAATTACTTAAATTTTTTATTTCGAGTTTTTATTTAAAATTATATCTACTATTTTGATAAAATATAAAAAATATTTATAAATCATATTTTCTTCAACATAAAAAAATAAATATTAATTCAATATTAAATCAATATTAAAAAATTAATTATTTGAATTAATTTATAGAAAACAATGGAAACCACTGAAAATACAATTATGTCTGTTACAAATATTGAAAAAGAAGAGTCTAGTACTACCATATCTGAATTTGCAAATATGGAAACTACTACAAACAGACAAGTATCTAATTCAAATACCAAGAAATCAAAGAATATGCAAAATACAAAATCTACAAACAAACGAGTATCCAACTTAACAAATCAGACTAGCAAGAAATCGAACAAAACTCGTGGTGGAACAAAGAATCAGAAAAAAACAAACAAACAGAATAACAACAAAAATAAGGTAATAATTATAGTTTGCTAATAATAATAATACAAACATCGTTTAACTATTAAAATATTAAATTATGTTAGAATAAATTATTTATTGCATTTACAATCTTTTAAAAATATATATAAAATAAATTGATGTGTTTATTAACATTTATTAACATTTATTAACATTTATTCCATTTATTATATGCATTCTATTTATTATATGTATATAAGAACATCTTTGCACATAGAATAGATTCATTATGAATGTTAGTCATATAGCTCATTATAATAATGAAAAACACTTGTGAATACATTATGCAACCAAAAATATTCTATTCTTCATTTTATAAAAGAAAAATATAACAAAGAATTATTTATAAAACGTGTACAATAGTATTCTATAAATAGCTTTAAATGATATATAGTGGATTGCATTTGGAATTATACATTTTTGTGCATATCAATTCATGAAATATTTTAAAAAAAAATATCAAGAATGAAAATTTCTTTTTTTTTGATTATTATAAATAAATAATTTTTTAAACATAATTAAACATAATCAATTATCTTCAAAAATAAATATAATATTGAAAAAGAGTTTTTCACTTTAAAATTGTGACTTTTATAAAATCACTATTTTTCATTTTTCCGCTATTCTTTAAAAGAATTTAAAAGAATAATTATTTTAGCAATTAAAAATTATTTTTTATATTTTTGCATTTTCCTTTCACGTCGCAAAGCGACTTTTTTATCTAATACTACACATTATACAAAACTTTTTGAAATATTATTAGCATAATAAAAAAGTAAATAATAATTACTAAAAGATATATAGAATATTAATATATTCATTATTAGAGACATTTTTTAAATATCATTAAAGATTTAAAATATTAAAAATTAATATTAATACTAAATAATAAATTTGATACTAATGATCAAAAAAATATAAAAATTGATATTTAAAACTATATCAACTATTAGTTGAAATTTATTCGTTAAATTATAAATAATTTAAATTTTTTTAGTTAAGTTTTCGATTTTATTTTTTTTTAATTAAGTTTTTCTATCTCCATCACATTGCTATTTCGCTCTATTTCGTTTCGTTTAATATAAAATGATATATTTATGTATCAATTGATATTTTTTCCAACTTTTATATTTATTTTAACCACTAAAATATTAACACTTTAAATGTAACTTATAAAACTTAAAAAAATTCAAAAATATATATTAAAGTTAAAAAATATTATTATAAACATAAATTTCATAAGCATTAAAATATGAAAATTATAAAATTAATTGAAAAAAAATTATAATTACTATTAAAGATGGATCAATTAAATATGTTTAATAATATTTTTTATGAATTAATAATATTATTAAATATTATTTTTTTTCATTTTCCAGACAAGAAAACCAAAAAGCCAAAAGCAAGAGCCACACTTTACGGACTTGCAAGCCTTAAGAGATCAGGAGATGTATCAGTAAACATGATGAGCGATCACACTATGATCAAAACGATGTTTACTCTTGGCCCTCTTATATTGAAGGTCGAAAAAGAATTTGGTAGAGCTGCAAAGAAAGAATTGAGAAGCGCGACTGCAACCACCGCAGAAATGTCAGGAAAATTGAGTCTTCGAATTCTCCATGGTGGTGCTGCTACCCTTAATTCCATTCGAGTTTTGCAACCTAAACAAGTAAGTTGATCAACGAGTATTTTTTTTAAATACATTGCATGAATAAAAAATCATAATAACTATGTACAAAAAATTTAAGTGTGATATTTTTCTTTTGAACATTTATTTAGTCTTTATATTAATACTTTTCTAAGTATTACTTTTTACTTAAAATAAAATATAATAACTTACTTATATTGAAAAAATTTATTAATCAATTAAAAATAGATTATCGTTATATATTATCATCTTATATTTCAAATTTAAAATTTATTCATTGAAAATTATTTAAACAAAAATTGAATAATATCAAAAATTTTTTATATTGATATAAACATTAATTTTAAGATTCTAAAAGTAATTTTAAGTATATGGTATAATTTTGCAAGGAATTGATGATAAAAATATTTAAAAGAATTAAATTTATTAAAAATTTTTTTTATTTTAGTTATTTTTAATTAATTAATCTAAATAAAAAGCATAAAAATTGAAATACTATTCTCTCAAAATTAATGTTTATAAATAATAAAAAAATAATAATTTAGTTTTCTATGATTTTTTATTTGTAAACTTTTATTTATTAAAATTCTCTTAAAAATTATTATTTTATATATGTTAAATTTTTTTTATTAATAAGATTATTATAATTTATATAAATTTTATTATTTTTATTTTTTTGCAAATTATTTAAATTATGACATAATTTATCTGGTTTCATCTCGAAATACTGTAAATATATGTTCAGAATTGTTTAAAAATATTTTATATTCTTTTCTTTTTTTTCATTTCATGTGTTTACTTACTTTTATAACTTTATAAGTTTATAACAATTATAACTTACTTTGATAATTTTTCCATTGTTTTTTTCCTCTGGTCATTTCTTAACTATTCTGTTACATGATTATTATCACATTATTTTCAAACAAACATATCTGAACAAAACTCCATCAACTTATTTATCTTTTCGTCATCGTTCTTATTTCTCTGTTATCGTTTTTGAATTTATCAATAATAATTTATATTTTTTTTTTAATGAATTTTTTAAATGACAATAGATATATGATATAATTGTAATTATATTCAAATAAAAGAATTATTACTATAATATATAGATACATGATATAATTGTAATTATATTTAGATAAAAAAATTATTGTTATAATATTTTATTATCGAATTAATAGGAAGACAAGATATACAAAATTCGAATAAAAGAATTTTATAATAGAATTCAGACTTTATATTTTAAGGAAAATTATACTTATAACAAATTGATATAAAAAACGGTTTTTATTATAAAATTATAAAATGTAATTTCATATTTTTTTCTTAGAGAAAATTGCCAAATTACACAATGTCTTTAATTTTTTCTATTTAAAAGAATATGCAAATAATTTTTTATTTCTAGTGTTTTCAGATTTTTCAATATTATATACTTCTATCAATTCTATAATTCTTATCATTTCTAATTTTTTAAATATTCCTAATTAGAACAAAGAATATATAGATATTTACATAAAATATAAGTGTTTATATATTTCGGATAATAAAATATTCGAATATAAGATTATTTGATTACAAAATTATAAACAAAATTTTTTAAACACTAAAAAAAAAATATTTTTAGAATTAATTTTATTACTTGAAAAGAATATTCTATTAGAAAGAAATTAAATCTATATATAGTCCATTATGTTTTATAAAATTTCATTAAAATCAATATCTTTCTTAATTTTAATAACACACTTATTAGGAAAGTTTTTAAAGTATACGAAATATATAAGATATAAGTATAAATATATAATATAAGACGTAGTAATAAAAATAATTTTATGAATGATTGTAATTGCAATAATCTGAAAAGAAAATCTCAAGGGAGTGAGAATTAAATAACAAATTTATGAATTTTGTGATAATTTTTTCGAAAATATTTCATAAATTCCCTATAATTGAATGATATGCGCAAAAATATAATAATTCTATTGTAATTATAATCTATTACATAATTTAAATTAAGTCTAATAATTATTTTTAAATATTTGTAAAATGGCTTTACACGAGTTTTATAAATGTTTTCTTTATTTTATATATTTTTATCATAAAAGAAGTTATAAAATTTTTTTTGATTATTTAATATATATTTGTCACATATTTATATATTTCATTTCTTCAATTTGAATTCAAAGTAACTTTACAAATTTATTTTTATAAATAAATCGAACTATTATATACTATCGCCATTTTTAAAACAGAAAGTTAAAACAGGAAATAAATAATAAAATATAATCGTATATAATGATACAATTTATATAATAACTAATTATTCAATAATGATATTAAATAATTAAATGGTGAATTTTTACGTAAATATACAATATTTTTCAAATTTTATATGTTTTACATATTTTGTATAAAAGATATAAATGTATATTTTCTTTTGGTATTAATTTTATAATAATTGAATATTATAAATAAATATAATTATATTATAAATAAAATTTCTAGTTACGATATAATATTGAAAGCTAGAAAGATTCTGAATCAATTTATCTGTAATAGAAAAAGTATTCAATATAATATTAAAAATAATATATTACATAAAATTGTCAAAATGATTTCTTGTTAAGTTTTGTTATTTTAAACAATTAATATAACTTATAACTTATTAAAAAATCGTGAGAAAATTTTTACTTAATATAACTTTATATAGATAAATCTACGTAATAAAATTACTGAAAATATTATAATTTATATATAGTTAATATAATGTATAAGTATATAATTTGACATATATATTTTTAATAACACAATATTTTTTAATATATTAATTAAATATTTGAACTTATTTTGGCTGCATAAAAATCCACAATCTAATAACCACAATGATAATAAATAGTATCTACTTAGTATTAAATATCTATAAATATTATAAAATATCATCGTATGACTTCTTATTTCACTAATTAATTGTGATTAATCACTAATTGGATGAAATTTAAATCTACGAATCTTTTTAATTTATTATGTAACTTCATAAATTTTGATTATTACAATCAGAAAATCTTATGATCATTTTATTATTTTCAATTTTTTAATATCAGAATATTACTAAAATATTTCCAAACTTTCATTATAGTATAATGATAGTATACAGATATTATATCTAGGGTTATCTCTATTCCTGACATTTTAAGTTTAGTTTAGTTTGTTGAATATCTTTCATTGATATAAGAATTTTCTTTTTGTTTCACGAAAAACATTTTAATTTTTTTTTAATAGAAATTATAAATTTCACATACAAAGTATCATCTGCAACATTAAAATTTTTTTAATTGTTCGAAAAAATTATTGAAGATTAGACTCTATTATTAAGTATTTAACAATAATAACACAAAACAATTAAGATAATCTATTACTATTTATTATTTTAGATAATTATTTAAATTATTTACATTTTTTAATTTTTTAAAATCCATTAAATTGTTTTAATTAATTTTTATCAATTTAAATATATATGAATATTAAATTTATTAATTCATTATTAATTAACTAATATTATAATTTATTAATTCATTCATTTATTGAATATAATTTATAAAGATACCACTATAAATGTTTATAACATATAATTATTATTTATTTATAAAAAATTTTTTCTTAATACAAAATATAATATTTTTTAATCACAATCTAGAAACTCAAAAGATTTTAAATTATTTTAATAACAAGAATTAAAAGAATGAATAATAAAACTATTATTTTATAAGTATTAAGATAAAAATTAACAAAAAATTCAAGAAAATAAATTTTACTTTCTTTAAATTTGCTATTTCTCTAAGTTTAAGATATATTGATATATGGAACAAAATATTGAACAATGAAAAAAGATTATTTAATTGAATTATAAAATAACAAAACTTTTTTCATTTTTAAATACTTAGGTAATTAATCATTCCGTTAAAACAATAATCAAACTAATTTGTTAAAAAATATATTCTCTTTATGTGATACTAATGAATATTTATCTCATTTTTCATTACATAAATACACTACATAAATAAAATTTAATATTTCTTATTTTTATTATAAAAAAACAGTTGCAAACTTATTTATACAAATTCTATTTTTAAACTAGTTAATAGAAAATTCAAAATTTCTTGCTTACAAAAGTTAATAATTAAAAATTAGTTAATTTTGGCTTACAATATTCGCATTATTGCATGATGTGTAATATACTTTATCATTCCGATTTAAAAAAGAGATTGCATTTGTAAGAGAGTTTGAACTTTAACCTTATTTTCAATTTTCTAAATTAAATTTCTGTAGATTTCTCCAATTATTTTCTAAAATTTAGTATATTATTCATTCTATATATAATATTTAAAATTACACAAAAATCAATATTAAACAATTTCATTAAAAATATTATAGATTTTATGTAAACATAAAAATTTCATATAAAAAATTTTTGTTTTTGTTTGTAAAATTCAATTAGAAGAAAATTATTTTTTTTGAACTCAAAAAAACTTTTTTTTTTTTGTATATAAGATATTATACTTTATTATTATTTGCTATACAGAATATTAATAATATATAACATAAAAAATTAAGTTTAAAAATTAATTAAAAAATTAATAATTAAATGATTAAAAAATTAATTATTAAATTAAACATTATTATAATTAAATAGTTAAATTAAATCAAATTAAGTTTCTATTCTGTGATGTTTGTACTGACTGTCCGAAATTTTTTTGTACAAAACTCTGTTAAAAAATGTTTATAAAATTTTCAGATATAATAAAACAAAATTTATAAATGCTTCATGAAAAACTTACGATAAAAGCATATATATTATTATAAACTCTATAGATATCTTAAAACTTTTATAGATATGTTTGATATTATCAATATACTATATACTGAATTTTTATTAAACATTTAATTTCGTTGCAGTTTTAATTTCAATATTTCAATATTATTATTTCATGAAATGAATCTGAATTTAATTTTATA